AAAATAATCACCTGAGTTACAGGCAAGTGTAATTTTTGGGAAAAATGGAGAATTTAAGGCACTTACAGAAAATAAAGTGAAGGCAAAACGACAGGGATCATAATGTAGCCAAATACCAAGCAACTGGAAAAATGTGTGGGAGCTTTCTATTGTGATCTTAAACAAGGTATTTTTAGGCAGGAGTCTGTCCTGATTCAGTAATGAATGAATAGAATACAAATCTTCCCCCACTGTGTTTTTGTGTGTAGAAGATACTGAAAGTCAGACTATTTCAGAATTTTGGGCACACCATTGATTCAGTTGGGTTTTGTGATGAGGCCAAAAAGGAAAAAAAAAATAAAAAGCCTGTGAAACCCTATAAGTCTCCAATCTCAGTGGTTTTGTTACTGTGCCAAAATAAGGGGTCAAGGCATAATAGAAAAGGCACTAGAAAAGCTCACTTGCAGTAGATTTTACATAACAAGTTCCCAGCTTCTCTCATTCAGCCTGTGCCTATTTTTGTAATCAAGACAGCACAGAGAGCAGATTTTAGCTATAAAAGTGCAAGTGGGTAGACCTTGTTTTCCTTTGGTAAATTGCAGTAAATTAATGAAGTGCCTGGTGCCTGGGGGTCAGGAAGCACAGAAAACAGAACTGAAAATGCTAGAAACCATCTCTCAAAATGTCCCAAAATATTCCCTCTCCTTCTCCATGTCTTGTTCAGAAAGATATGGGTTTGGCAAAGTAGTCCTTGCTGCTTCCAGTTCAGGGATATCTTTTATACTAAAAAACTGTTAGGCATGGTTTCCTAAGAACTGGGTTCTTCATCAGTGCTTAGGAGTATCCCTTAAGGCCATCCTGCTTTTCAGATGTGGCCTTTGCAGCTCCTAGAGATGTACCTGGCAGCAGCAATGGCCCAGCCCACCTAAAAAGTTTTGCCTGCTTTCTCCAGCTGCTAACTTGCAGATTGAGTAGTCTAAAGCACATCAGCTTAAGCTGGAAATTTCAGTTTTAGCATCATTTTCAAATAAAGCAAGGCAGAAAATAAAATGTAAGCCATATTCTGCTTGGTAAGAGTGCTTCCATTAGGGTAGTTTTTGCATACAGAGGCAGTGCATTGCCCTTGACCCACTGCAGCCATTAGGCTGGACACAGCCAAAAAGATGCAGGGAGAAACAGGAGCCTTACTGGCAGCAAGTCTGACACACAGAAAAATTTTAACTTTGGTTCTGTGTTTGTCATTTCCCTGCCGTTCAACAGGACCTGCAGGGATCACGAGGATTTTGAGAAACATCATCCTCCCTTGGAGCTGAGCTTTTGCTCTGCTGCAGTCTTAGGGTACTTTGATCAGAGACACAATAGCGAAGCAGCAATTTATTATTGTGCATTGTCACCTCCAGCCACAATTAACATTTCCCCTTCTCATTAGAGGTTTTCTCTCTGTCCCTTTTTTTTTTTTTTTTAAGAGATAGCAGAAGTCATAGCAAAGGTGACAGCTTGTGTCTGTGGCTTGAAGTGCACTATAGAGGGTAACATGATAACTTCCTTGAAGGTAGACAGATGCTGCAAGCCCTTGCCTACTTCCTCCTCTCCAAGTGCCCCACTAGGAAACTTCCTCCCAAAACCTGTAGCTGCATCCATGACCAGAAGCAGGCACAGGTGGACAAAGTACAGACCCACAGACCTGGCAGCATCCTGTCCCAGGCAATCTGAAGACGCAAAAAGAAAACCTGTGTCAGAGGAAAACTTGCAGTAGCTGCAAGTAGTTTAGATTAATTTGGAATAATGTCATGGTTTTGCAACATGCTAATAGAATGTTTGCATGCCTATATCTTAATACACATTTAAGAACTTTAAAGTCAAATGCAGGACTTAAGCTAAGTAACTCCCACTACCATTGTTACAAAACCTTTGTCTGGGCATTATAAGACTAATATATGTATATTGTGTGTGTGCATGTGCATTTATAGAATGTGCATGCATTTACATTGCATTTGTGCAAGTTCGTAGGGAGGAAACTGCTATGTTGTTGAACTAAGCTTTCTGAACACATGTTGTTTCTCAGATGAACTGTAACTCATTATCATTCCTAAAACTTCAAAATCTGTCTGTGTATGTGTCAGCTTTTATCAAGAATGAGATAATTCAATATGCGGGTCCTGAAATGCCCAGATAAATCTGTTCTGCTCCTATACCTTATGTCTCAGAATGCTGTTTCTTGACTGCAAATTATACAGGACACTTCAAATCTACAAATCTTGGGAAATGAGCAGTATCATGAGCTTTTGTGGAAACTTTGGTTTCTGGAAGGAATTTGAGAGAAAAAAACAAACTCTGAAATAGAAGGAATTTCTACATGACAAGGTCAAGACAAATATGTGTGCACAGATGGTGGCTGACAGTACCATACTCTCAGGCAGGCTTATTAGTGCAGCCTCAGTGCTATGATAACATAGATGTGCAGGACTGGAGGTGACTTAAACTTGACAGTTGAGAGCAAACAAACAATTGGTCTCACCAATTTGTGCTGACATACTTAAAGAGGGAGGGAAATTGTATGGGAGGAGACAGAAGAAAGGAAGCAACAATTACATATACTAAAAAAAAAAAGTTATGGTCATGGTCTTGAGATTTTCTTTTTCCTTTTGTAAGGACTCTTTCCCCTCTCTCAGTTGTTAATCACACTGTTTTCTGAAGACAAAAAGAAGAAAGCAACATAGTCTGTCATCTCCATGTTATTAGTAGTCTCCACAGAGCCATAGAAAAAGTGGCTATATTAGTAGGAGATAAATCCTGAAATATTCTAGCAGCCAGGTAAACCGTGGCCTGTCACAGGAATGGCAGGACCTCAGAGAGGGATGGGGGGACAAGGCCCTGGGTACTGGGTTGTACAGCTCTGGTGTTTAGGAAAAGACAGGGATTTGCATAGCTGATTGGGATCCATTGCTTCTGCAGAACTCTCTAGTTAAGCATCACTTTATTTACAGCTACTGCACCAAAATAAAATAGCTTCTCTTTTATTTGGGCTCAGAGTGAAATGCGACAGCAAGATTCTCACCCTGTCTCTGTCTGCTCTCCTCTGTACCAGAGGAACTGGAGGGACACTTGCCCCTGGTCAGACAACCTGGCATTGGTTTTATGCTGAGGCAGCGCCTGGATAGGCTTGACAGATGCACAGTGTTTTGAAACAGAGCTTGCATTCTTAAGCCTGCCATTTGCCCAGAACAGAGTGGAATGATGCATTTCTCAGCTGGAGCAAAGCTGGGAAGTCCCCAGCTTCCTCCAAGCTATTGGAAGTAAAACATAAAGAAAAGCCACTAATATCCTATGAGTTAAATTCCATACCAACGCCTAATTTCTAACCACAGCTCTTTAGTTCAATGATTTTAGGAGAAGGCACATGGTATAATTTCCTTCCATTTACAGGACCAGTTTACCAATGGGGACACCGAGGCACAGAGAATTTCATGTTTGTCCAACAAGTCTATGAAGTTACAGAACTTGGAGGAAGATCCAGGTCTCTGAAGTCCAAGTCTGTCACTCCAGCCACAAGCAGAGCTACATCTGAAATAGAAGAAACATGTGGGACTCACTGCAGTTGGCTACAGTTCAGAGCTCAACTGTTCAGAGCTCAACTGTTCTCCCACAAAACAGATATTTTTACTAATACCAAACAATCTAAGATATTCTCATTAAACTAAATAATATGACTGTTTCCTGCATCCACCTACCTGGATACATTTCAGAAGGCAAAGCAATCCCAGGCATCTGGGGATATGAACAGATGTCCTTTGCTAAGTCAGACAGTTCCACCTCCCAGTACTTTATGTACCTGCCCTGCCCTCTGAACTGTACATGAGTTGGTTGATACAGGACCGGTGCATCCATATTTCAATGAAGTATAATAATTTATGGTCTGATTTCAGACTTTAGGTTCTGAGAGCAAATTAGTTTTGAGGCATCACAGGAGGTTATAAAGCTGATAAACTGGTTTTAGCATTACAGTTAAAAAGACTTATCTGATGTATTGTTAGCCTGAAGGCACATACAACAAAGACTTTTATACATAACCTACATATACAATACAAAGCTCTAGTAAAATATTTTCCTTTCAAAGTGCAAAGTGTCATATTGCAATTTTCATTTAAATTTAAACTACACCTAAAATTAAAGTGGTGATCTCCAAGGACACATCACAAAGACAGAACAGCCTGAGGCAGGAGTAGCTCCAATAAATTTGGCCTTTTGGGGGAGTTCCATCAGAGGACATTTCAAGAGTATGTGTCGTGTTTGATTGCACTGTGGCTGCACACCTCTGACTTCAGCAAGCAACAGTTTACCAGCAGTTTTAGAAGAGATGGGTATAATGGCTGTGTCTGAGCTTTGCAAGCCAAATCCTACCTGAAAAAAAGAAGCTGCCTTGTGTTGACAAGTGTATCAGAATTTGAGAATGCACACCTATGCAGTTTAATTTATTTTTAATTTATTGCTATTCTATTTATTATTTTAAAACCTTATTATTAAATAAAACAATTCAGTTTTATTTAATATTGATTCATTTTAGAAGAAAGGTGGATATGGAACATTAGTTTCCAAAAATCAAGTTTAAATTTTAGGAGGGAAGCACAGCTGCCTGGTGTTTGGAAGAGACACGGGAGCCAAGGGAACACTCTCCTCCTACTCCAGCCCTCCCACAGACTCACTGTAATGCCTTTACAGCACATCTGACTTGCTCTGACAACCGACCTGCACTAGAGAAGTGCTTAGAAATCTTCAAATGAAGAAATGTTCATAACTAAAAAGCATTTACTGTAATGAAGCCCCTTAAAAGAGGCACTGCATGCTGCAGCTGATCTCTAGCATAAATGTAATTGCACTGAATGTTGTGGAGTGTATTTTCATTCCTCTTCTGCATACATTCAATATAATTTTCTGAATGAGACAAACATCTGTGCACAGTTGTGGAGACGGGATTTTATACTTGTTATAGCGGATGACCTTCAGTTTCTGGTTTTGCTTAGCATTCTTACAAAATATAAAAAAAGTTACAACCCAACCTCACACTCTGACCTTTTAAAATTTACTTTTAAAAATAGAGGTTATCTTTTATGCTGCAAATTATGCCTTTATCTCTTATAATCCCATAAGTCAGATATCACAGTCCCACTTCAATTATGCTAAACTCTTATGTTAATTTTAAATCATGTAACTTAATTCCTGGCAAAGCAGGCTGGTGATTTTCAAAATGTGGTTAATGAGGCAAAGTACAATCTAGATTCTGCTACTGAGATCATCTGAATCCCTTAGGTCGCTGAAGATGACTATGGAGAGGCTCTTCTTTACAAATGTCTGGGTTAGATTTTCAAAAAATGAATTTTTAAGTGCAGTTAGGGGCTATGAAATTTGAAATTGAGCATACAAAGAAGTTAAATTACTTTCACTAGAGCCATAGAACAACAGTGCAGCTAAAACAATTATGCTTCTGTGCACATACATGCTTTAAAGGCCTTAACTAGTGTCCTCCCCTGTTAAATCACAAATGTAAGCCATACCAGATTTTCAAGATGACAATCTGGGGACCTGATGTCCATGTCCACGCATGCATGCAAATCAATGTCATTTTCCCTCTCATTTGCAGAAAACAAACATTTGCTAATAATTGTTTTCAACCCTTTCCTTGACTCAAATAATAGCTTTATCTAAGACCAGTTAGTAGATAAAATCCTATGAGACTGTAAGGCTTTTTTAATGTAACTACACCTGCACCCCCCCAGGTCTCTGTCATTCTCTGATCAGATAGGCTGAAAGTTTGTCACTAAAGCACATGCAACATGAAGCTTAAGTTCTTCAGAAACTTTGCCATTTACTAGTATTTATTTCTCTGAATTATTCATACAAAACTCATAAATAGATTAGCTTCCATTCTTTATTAGCAGTTAAACTTTTTTCCTCATATGTTTTTTGAAAATATTAGTACACGAATAATTTTTTTTGTCTGTAAATTAACAATTATTTTACACACATCCACAACAGACAAGACAAAGCAAATATATAGACATCCAAAGGTTGGTGTAAATTTATTTTTTATTTAATAACTTCAATGGCCTTCCTATAAAGCAAGAGAGATTCACTCAGGATTTGAGGCTGAATTCAATACTTACAAGAGCAGAGAATCTAGAGGTCAAAGCAAGCTCAAATTCAAGTGAAAACCAAGGCAGTTTTTTCATGAGTTAGGAGGTTGGATGGTACAAAATCAAAACTGTCAGGAGGTTCTCTTTAGTGTCCTTAATGCATAGTCTCACTTGAGAGCAATAGTCACAAAAGTGCATGGCCAAGTTAAATAAAAATTAAATCCTACTGGGTAAAGACACATGGGAATGGAGTAAGAGCCATTAACCAGCATGATGCACAACACTAGAGTGGCAGTGTACTGGTGTCCAGCATGACATCAGCTGTAAGGAACCACCTCTCCAGCATGGTGTCCCAATGGTATGGCTGGAACAGGAAAATCTGGAGGGATTTTTGCCAGGAAAGGCTGGAGTCAAACACAATCTTGTGTTTAAAGCGGGAGTTTAGGGACACGTACTACTGAGGAGAAGCATGCATGGGGGCAGTTCAATTGTCAGATATCCACTCCTAGACACTTCTGCTGTTAACACCTGTGGGTCCATCCAGCCATAGCAAGAGCTCACACAAGCTCATACAAAAGTGTGTATTTACCTGTCCAAGGAATCCTTGCAACTTCTTATTGGTGCTGAACATCTGCACCTCCCTCATGGTCATGACACATACCACACTGCAACACCTCACAGTGATGATGTCTTTTTCTTTCTCCTCTTTGCTCTATGGCCCCAAGGAACAGGCTGGTTTCAGCTATGGGTGCTGCTAGTCACAAATAGCATCACCTTCAACTTTCTCCTTTGGAGCGGCTTGTCCTGCCACAAGGAGAGACATGCAGAGCTTGCTCAATTACACACTGGCACCACAGAGACTGGAGGTGGCTTTCTTCCTCTTCTGAGGAGAAAACTGAAGGAGAAACAAGCAGCCAAGGGTACATAGGAAATGGTCTGTCCTTTCAGCAGGGACCCACAGTTACTCCTGTGAAAGGACTGAAACTGCATTTGCCTGAGATAAAGGAAATGACAGCAATAATTGCACTAATTGTGACCAGTGATTGGGAACAGAGGACATTTTACTTGCATCACTTTCCCATCAAGCTGTTTCCTTATTCTACAACCTGCTATATCAAGACACTGGAGTAAGATGACCCAAACCACTCCAGAAAGCAAGAACTGGTGACATCTTTATTGCAGAAGGGCATAGAGATTTTTCCTACCCATTTCTGGGACATGGTCTAGTGGTAGACTTGGTAGTGTTAGGTTAATGGTTGCACTTGACGATCTTAAAAGTCTTTTTCAACGATTCCAGGATCCTATGATTTTTCAGAGATTCTCCTCCTCCTGGGACACTCTGGTGACCCATCCTTCAATGCAGGTTTCAGGAACAACTGCATGTATTGGTCAGGCAGCATTTGAGGGAGGAGAGCGAAGGGGAATGTAGAAGGTACCTTTTCCTTTTATAACCAGGACTGTGGGACTCTGGACATACCTGCCTCTAGGAAAAATCACCAATACACATCCCACCCCATATAACTGAAGCATCCACCCCACTCCTGGGGTTTGCTGGCTGCTGACAAGGCAGGCAGGACAGCAAAACACAGGTGACTTCAGGAAGCTCTGGAGCCAGCACCAGTTTATGGGCTTGGGAGGCAATGGGCATACGCACCTTCTGTGTTAAAAATTGCTGGGAGGTGGGTTGATGATTGGACCCTAGCAGATCAAGAATGGTCATAGCAGTTGCATTGAAGTTGCTTCTCAGTACAGACCTTAGAATGTTCCGTAGCTGCCACACTAAAACTTTGCCCTATCACCAAAAATGAAGACTACATTGAATATTGGGACCACAGTATCCATGCATCATATGTAATGATGTACCCTCTCTAAGTTAAAATCTTAATTTTAATGAATGCAGCAGCTCTCTGAAAGTAGAGGAAATATGCGCTCTCTCTCATATTTGTCAGCTCCAGTGCATCAATCAAAATGGGGTAGTGGACTGGCACTTCACAGGCTTACCCAAATTTACTCTACTCAACTGAGCTGCTGTGTTATTTGTAGCTTGATGCATTTGTATTCAAGTGCATCCTTCAATAAAAAAAAAAATCAGGTCTAAAAATGGCTACAGTTTAATGGTAATCAAACAACTAAGTCTTGCAACTGATGATGCTTCAAATATTTTAGAAAATTAACCAATGCTTCTTTATTAATAACTGACAGGAAGTAAAAATACATTCAAAAGTTGTTTCAAAAACAATTTCTAAAGCAGACACACCAAAAAAGAATCATGCTACTCTGAATGTTTTCTTCTTAAAACATTAAAAGAACATTAGGTAAGATAATGCAACAGTTGGCTGAGCTACCATAGTGTAATCCACAATCATAAAAGCAGCTTTTTCAGGCATTTTAGTGCAATTTATGCTGTTAACAGGTCTTCTTTTCTGCGCATTATCCTACAATTTAATGCCAATTGATATCACTCTAGCTTATAAAATCCCCACTAAGTCAACTCCATTTAGCAGTAACTTTGTTTCCTTTCAGGGCTGATATCAAAGTAGTTGCTTTGAATCCCAAAATGATAAATATCTAATAGAAGCCTGAGGCTATTCTGGTGCTATACAATTGGTGATGTATAATTGAACATTAAGTAATCCAGGTAATAGAAGTCATAGGTCAGCTGTCTCTCCTCCTTAGACAATTCCTTTAAGTATTGCCTCACTACTTCTGCACTTGTTCTCTCGTCAGAGGAATGTCTGTCTTTGAATTTAGGGAACTTCAGATCGGCTGGAGCACCTACCAGCTGCAAAAAGTAGTTGGCATCTTCTTCCAGGGTTTCAAACTTTCCTATAAAATCATAGTTGATGAGGCAGGGGTAGCAGAGCTTACTGACTTGCTCCCAATGAATGTCCATTCCTACTGGTCGATGGGAATCTAACAAATATTGGATAAACTCCTTGAACTTAACTCCTGATCCTGTTTTCAAAGCCTCTTCATCTGCGTTATGTCTATACTTCTTAATTATTGCCTTCCCAAATACTGGATGGTAATAGCTGTTTGGATGTTCAAACTTATCCCTGAAGGCAGATACCAGTCTTTCCATAGGATCACGTACAAATATAAACTTAGTGTACATGTTCAAGCGCGTGTATATCCCTTTTAGGTCATAACTGTCCAATTTCCTTAGGTGTTTTCCATAGTGCACATCGTCATGGGAAATATTGTACGCTGAAGCGGCGAGTCCATTGAGCACCATGAGGACCCTTTTCCAATTGGAACAGCCTGCTTTTGGCACTTCACAGTACAGGACCTTGTGCCTATCCTCCACGTAAATTCTTGACACCAGGTGCATCAGGTGGGTTTGCAGCTTCTTTCTGCTGTTGTACTTCTTACAGAAGTCATGCAGGAATGACCTGCGCTTTTCCTGGGTGCTATCTACATCCTTCCACTTGTTACCCTTGACTAACATCTTGTTTAATGGGTGCAGTGCAGGGGGTAAATACACTCCTCTGAACCAGCTGAGAGGTGACTCGCTTGTCTTCTGCTGGTCAGGCAGTTGGTTCACCAAGGAGGCAGCTACCACACTGAAAAGGTCAGCCTTGCCCTGCCAGTGCTTGCCGCTTGAGACAGCCATCTCATGTTTACTGAGGCTCACGGGAGCGCTTCTGCTCCATAATGCTTCCCTTGGCATCCCCGGAGGTTGGAGTGTGAAATCCTGCAATCATGGAAAGGAGCAGAGCTTAGAGTGCAGTGACAGCCCAGCCAGTTCACGTTGCAACAGCAGCAAGGTGGGTTGTGCTCACAACCAAGCCACATGTGGTACTAAAAAGTCTCTTCTGAAGCACTTGATCAACACACCTAATTCAGGAACTAGCTGGGCTAAATTACTGACATACACACTTCTGAAGCTTACCTGTTAGCACACAGTAGGTCTTCCTACAAAAATAAATAGCTTGAGTCACACATTTTAAGAAAGCAACATGACAACACTGTTTGAGGTGTGTGGTCATCCTATGGAGTGCACTGGCACAATCATAGTAACGGGCTGGATCTACTCCCATCACTGTGATTTGGAGCAGGCCTTGTTCCCTTGTGGTGGTAGGGGATGAACCTAGGGCCCCTAAACAGCTGACATCAGTGGATTTGAGCATAGTGTAGTGACAGACAAAATCCTCCCTCCAAAAAGGTCCTACAGACAGACAATGGAAGTGGGATGCACTGGACTGTATGTACATACAGGTGTCTGCAATGTAGATGCCTGTATCTGAGTCAGCTGCTTCAGCTGATAAGGAAAAATAAGTGCCTTTAGAGCCTATTCCATCTGACTTATTTAAACACCAACATTAATGACACCAACTAACTAAACATCAACTAGTGACTCTGCAAAGAATGTCAAAAGATGAGACTTTCCTCTCAAACATCTCTTTCAATGTCCCCAGCCACTGTGCAATCCACAAACTGCAGGAACAGCAAAGCTTGCATCTGTGTTTTGCCATCAAATTCTTGTATCATGCAAGTTGACCGAAGAGTTTCTTGCAGTTTGGGTATTACTGCTCACTCATTCCAAAGTGGATTCTAATGTGTCTATAAAGGCTTGTAGATTTTTTTCTCCCATCAGTAGGCAAGCCTGTTGCACTGGGACACCTATACAGCTGCTTATTTTCATTATACATCTGGAGAGAGAGGATGCCAGTCAACAGGTTTTTACATATCCTGTTGCAAATACCAGATAACCAAATGGTTAGATGGACATACATGCAGAGACTGCCTGACTGCTTTCATAAGTCTAACTTTTTTTGAAATCTACATCAAAAGACTTTTCTACCATAAACTGATTAAACATTCACTGGAAAGTTGATGTGTGGACTGGCAGATCATAAGTGTGGATTTGAGGGATGTGACAGCTCATAGGCTGATTCAAATAAGGCTGTTAAAAATTCAGACGAATAATGTAAGAAATGATAATGAATGGAAAACAATTTGAGTTCCAGTTTGAAATAAAGCCTATGAAAAAACAAGCCATTGCAAGGCAAGTTAGCCTATGTTACAGTGTAATAATTTCCCATACAAAAACAAACCCAGGGGATCAGGCTTTTCTGTACTGCTACAAGCCACTGACAGGAAGGTCTTTTCTTCCACTGAACTGCTGAAAATTATTTTTGTACTGGTGAAAACAAATAAAAGAAGAGAGCCGTGCAGGACTTCTACATCTGCGAAAGAGGGCATGTTGGTGGTTTTAGTGATGCAAAAGGATACTTAAACTCATTTGATTTGATGTGGTCAGATTTTCTGACATAATATTTTTTTTATTTTCTGCCTAATATTATATTCTTTAAAACAAATGAAGCACATGTATCTGGAGATTTATCCCTTCTGCTCTAGGATGGAAATAATTCAGGAGCTTAGTTAGCATATAAAGAAGTACTACTAGTAAACCAGGGTATGATTATGACCCTAAAGGGAATTTCAGCACCACAGTGAATGGCAAAGTGTCATTCTTACAAGTGCTACTGCAGAATACAGACTTGCAAATAAATAAATGTTTTTACCTTAAAAGGAAAACCTGGAACTTAAAAAGTTGAAATGAAAAGTATGGGATACACAGAAATCAACCCCACAATACAAGGGTCAACAGAAGTAGGAATAAAACTATAACAGTGCTAAAGTAACTAAAGATTGTAAATTCATCAGTGTGGCTCTGGGGAATTGAAAATTTAGAAAACAGTTTCCAGTGATACATGACTGTACTGGTGTTCCCCAATGCAGGGAAAACTCAAGAGAGGGCACCACCTGATGACTTCCTGTGGTATGTCATCTGAATTTAGCAGTCTATTTCAGGACATATTTCAGTGCAAAGAAACTTAAACCATTTGAATTTCAAACTGAAGCCACTAATATGAATCCTACACTTCAGAGGAAAGTTCAGCCCTCTGAATTCATCCTACAATCCTGAACGAGTGGAAGATGCTCTAGTTCCACCAGGACAGGAGGGAAAAACACAAGCTGGTAGGTGCATGGTCTTGATTTTGTTCCATTTCAATCAGTCTGTCTGGGATCTAGGACCAACCTCAGGGGATAACCCAAGAGGGTACCAGAGGAGGATTGCATTTTAGTTGCAGAAACTGTGAGTGCAACTGTAGGAATCCCTACTAAAAGATTTTTCATGGGATTAAAGACTTCAGAGAAGGATGTACAGAACTATTCAGAGAAATCTCAGTTAACACCCTAGAGGAACAACACATGCACAGAGGAAGTCACTTGAAAGGGGCTCCATCCTGGTGAGATGAGGCAAAAAAAGAAAGAATTTATTAGGAAAAAAAAGCCCCAAACAGAAATAATAATTTAAAAAATACCTAGGGGGAAAACAATGGCACAGGAAGTTTTGAGGACCAAAAAATTATCTAAATATGTAAAATACTATTAGTTGCTTCCCCTTTCCACTTCCTCTTCTCTTGAGACACATATTCCATAGTGAATACAACACTATTGGTTAGTAAATGTTTTTATAGTGTCCTTGCAGTAAATGCTGGCTGTAACTTTCTCTGTCTAAGAATGGGAATGGATAATGGATAGTGATATTTTCCAAAGGCATAAATGGCCGATACATTGCCATGGAAGTTTTCCAAATCAAAAAAGAAAAGATCAAACCTTCCTACACACTTGCCTGAACAGCTAGGTTAGTACCTAATAAAAGTGAGATGAATGAAAAGATGAATGAAGCTTGGTTTTTGATGAGAAATGTTTAACTAGAAAGTTTTCTTAGGAAACTAACAGAAACTATTTAATAGATGGTGCCATATTCTCTAAGCAAAACTATGTGACAGTCTGACACTTATGAGCATGAGAGAGCTGAAAGCCACATGCTCTGAAAGGATTTTAATGTTTTTTGACACTAGTCTTACACAAAGTGAGGTGTCTTCTTTGCCTTCCTCTTGGTGCCAGTGATTTTTCAATGCCCATTTTATGATACTTTAAAGATCTGAACATCTCTATGTTATATTGATTTTTGTTTTCACAGCAGGAACAGTAAAACAAGAAATTTGCAAAAGCAACAAACACTTCTAAAAAATCCTTGTCTATTGTGTCTACATTCCTAACAGCCCATCTCACAAGCTGCTGAGCACCATTGCTCTGGAAAACACCAGAACATACACCAACAACAGGCAGCATGCAAGTGATATCAGACACTAACTCTCAATTCAGATATTTCCATGCAAACAGTCCTTACTAAACTCTTTGAGCCAAGTATCCAAGGAGAGGGATGTCCATTTATGGGTTTTCAAAGAGCTGCTAAGTTTGGGAACCAGCTGCCTTCATCTTGGAGTTACCTTGGATAGATCCAAGGCTGTCCTTGAGACATCCTGGCAACCAATGCAGCAGGCTGTGTACATTTAATCTGAGAATTAAAATCCAATGAAGTGTTGTACCTTTGCAGTAACTGTGCAGAGAGCCCTGTTCTCTGTTTGCATTAACACATTTGAAAGGAAGTTAAGAAAAGGCCATGAGTCCAATTTAGGTGAGTAGGCACTCTGTCTCACTTTAGGTAGACAGGAACTGAAGACAGATTTAAAAATCAGTTTAAATACAAGGAAAAAAAATTAATTTAAGAGAGTGTTAGTGTGGTGTTTGGCTACCAGCAGGCAACTAAGTGAAGCTGTTGAAACAAAAGGCATTTTTGAGTCATTAATTGTGTTCATGTGTTTTATTTTTTTTGACATTTTTATTGCTGGAGATTTCCTGCTCCTCCCCGTCCACAGAAAGATTTCTCCTCACTGTAAAAATAAGTAGCCAAAACCTTCTTTTATACATATTGAAGCTGTCCTTTCCTTTAATACTTTCACAAGCCACTGGGGTAGAAGAGATTGACTACTGCCAAGAATGGTTAAGGCTCATCCAATTATGCTTTGCGGTGGTTTTACAATGCACGGGTGGGATCTCATCTAGACAGTTTGCAATTAGAGCAACTCACCATGCAAAAAGATAATGATGTATTGGAAAGGCTGATATTTCAGGGCTGATTTACACAGCTTTAATGGCCTGAAGTGCAGGCAGTGCCGTGTTTCCTAAATGCTTTAGTACTGGATATTCATTTTTACTAACAAGAATAATAAAACTAAATAAGCTCAACAGAAAATGTAGCACAAAGAATAGTGGAGGGAATAAATATTCTGTTTTCTAGTGTTTTTCTCTGCTGCCAAATAACTACACTCTAAGTACTAGTAATGTATGATTTGGTCCTCAACATCTAGTTACTACATCTTCTCTCCTAAAACACCCTTCATGAAATAGTCCTCTAAGATGCTGCTTAGGAACAACTGCATGAGTCACATAGGAAGCCTGCTGTGCTCTGCTTTTTACTGTGGCTTGAGCTTGACTGCTGCAGGTTTGAGTGCCCTGAGGACTCTCTCAGTACCTCTTATTCTAAATAGTTAATATGGCTGCTCTGCAAACACACGGATATTCAGAGATGATAAAACCTTCATCCTTTAAGTCAAAACTTATAAAAATAATTTGGAATAAAAATTATTTGCTTTTTCTGACCAACTCAGACATACTCACAGCAACTTAAGCAGGAGAAGAAGCAAAGGCCTCCCAGTGAAAAAATGACAAGATTTTGAAAGATGTGCTTGGAGTATATAGTACTTACATCCCAATCCTTTGGCACTATACATGTTCAGCAGTGCCAAAGTTCAGCATAAACTGAGAGCACTGTAT